GTTTATTTGAAAAGTGAGAGACAGAATAACAAAAAAATCCAGAAAAACGCATGTCAAAAATGTTATAAATTGATTTGCATTTTAATGAGGGAAATAAGTATTTGACCCCCCTCTCAATCAGAAAGATTTCTGGCTCCCAGGTGTCTTTTATACAGCAACGAGCTGAGATTAGGAGCACACTCTTAAAGGGAGTGCTCCTAATCTCAGTTTGTTACCTGTATAAAAGACACCTGTCCACAGAAGCAATCAATCAATCAGATTCCAAACTCTCCACCATGGCCAAGACCAAACAGCTCTCCAAGGATGTCAGAGCAAAGATTGTAGACCTACATAAGGCTGGAATGGGCTACAAGACCATCGCCAAGCAGCTTGGTGAGAAGGTGACAACAATTGGTGTGATTATTCGCAAATGGAAGAAACACAAAATAACTGTCAATCTTCCTCGGCCTGGGGCTCCATGCAAGATCTCACCTCGTGGAGTTGCAATGATCATGAGAACGGTGAGGAATCAGCCCAGAACTACATGGGAGGATGTTGTCAATGATCTCAAGGCAGCTGGGACCATAGTCACCAAGAAAACAATTGGTAACACACTACGCCGTGAAGGACTGAAATCCTGCAGCACCTGCAAGGTCCCCCTGCTCAAGAAAGCACATATACAGGCCCGTCTGAAGTTTGCCAATGAACATCTGAATGATTCAGAGGAGAACTGGGTGAAAGTGTTGTGGTCAGATTAGACCAAAATCGAGCTCTTTGGCATCAATTCAACTCGCTATGTTTGGAGGAGGAGGAATGCTGCCTATGACCCCAAGAACACCATCCCCACCGTCAAATATGGAGGTGGAAACATTATGCTTTGGGGGTGTTTTTCTGCTAAGGGGACAGGACAACTTCACCGCATCAAAGGGACGATGGACGGGGCCATGTACCGTCAAATCTTGGGTGAGAACCTCCTTCCCTCAGCCAGGGCATTGAAAATGGGTCGTGGATGGGGTATTCCAGCATGACAATGACCCAAAACACACGGCCAAGGCAACAAAGGAGTGGCTCAAGAAGAAGCACATTAAGGTCCTGGAGTAGCCTAGCCAGTCTCCATACCTTAATCCCATAGAAAATCTGTAGAAGGAGCTGAAGGTTTGAGTTGCCAAACGTCAGCCTCGAAACCTTAATGACTTGGAGAAGATCTGCAAAGAGGAGTGGGACAAAATCCCTCCTGCGATGTGTGCAAACCTGGTGGCCAACTACAAGAAACGTCTGACCTCTGTGATTGCCACCAAGTACTAAGTCATGTTTTGCAGAGAGGTCAAATACTTATTTCCCTCATTAAAATGCAAATCAATTTATAACATTTTTGACATGCGTTTTTCTGGATTTTGTTGTTGTTATTCTGTCTCTCACTGTACAAATAAACCTACCATTAAAATTATAGACTGATCATGTCTTTGTCAGTGGGCAAACGTACAAAATCAGCAGGGGATCAAATACTTTTTTCCCTCACTGTACATGGCAATGTTATGTCTGACTATAACCTGGGGAAGCACTTTAATTCCTCAAACAGTGTCTGAAGAGGAACTGACAAGGTGTCAACTCACCAGTGCAAATATTATCAGATATTAACAGCTTTCTATTTCCTTACAACACGTCAAACTGAAATTCCGCACAGAAAAACATTCCCGTATTTTGGGGGAAATTATCGCATTTTCTCCCCGGTGCCTAAATGTCTTTGCTCCGCGAAAGACGCAGAGATGACAGAGAAAACTTTACTGGATGTCAACTATGTTGAAACATTCATTCTATCGATTTATGACATTCTGGTGAGCAAGGGTTTATTTAGTTTATGGGCAACTTACACTGAGTGTACCAAACATGCTCTTTCCATGACAGACTGACCAGGTGAAAGCTATGATCCCTTATTGATGTCACTTTTTAAAATCCACTTCAAATCAGTGTAGATGAAGGGGAGGAGACAGGTTATAGAAGGATTTTTAAGCCTTGAGACAGGGATTGTGTATGTGTGCCATTCAGAGAGCGAAAGGGCAAGACAAAAGAGTTAAGTGCCTTTGAACGGGGTATGGTAGTAGGTGCCAGGCGCACCGGTTTGCCAAGAACTGCAACGCTGCTGAGTTTTTCACGCTCAAAAGTTTCCAGTGTGTATCTAGAATGTTCCACCACCCAAAGGACATCCAGCCAACTTGACAACTGTGGGAATCATTGGAGTCAACATGGGCCAGCATCCCTGTGGAACGCCTGACACCTTGTAGAGTCCACGGCCCAACGAATTGAGGCTGTTCTGAGGGCAAAAGGGAAGGGGTGCAACTCAATATTAGGAAGGTGTTCTTAATGTTTTGTACAGTCAGTGTATACTGACGAGAAGCTGCATGTATCTAATTATAGACAGTTGACTAGCAAATCAATAACTTGGGGAATACAAGGTTTTATCTGCAAAACGATGGATTCTGAGAATTGGCATTAAAAAGTTCCGAACCCTCATTGGTTTGAATGGAATCTGCAAATTTTTTTCATGTATTCTTTTGAACTTAACATGAATTGGGCTTTTGAGCACTATATAGGTAGAGACCATTTAACAGAACATGACTGTGTCAATAACTCATTTTTGACAAAAATGCAGATAGAACCTTATAGTCCCAAGTTCTTGAAATAGCCTACCAAAATACCGGAAATAAGCAGAGACATATCTACACTCCTGCAACTCCTATCAAAAAAATCATTCCACCGTCTCCGACTGTAGCCTACTATGGATTCTATATTTTCGAGTTAGGGTCGGGGCCTCAGATTTTCCCTATCACAGTCGGCGGTTGCAGATGGGTTATTAGCAATTGCGGGTGGGTGCGGGTGAACAAACAGCTGACCCACGAACCATTAGCACACAAAATGCATCTCTGACCAACACCACATAGTCCCAGTCATGGGACAGAAAGAAACACAAGGACTGTAGGCCCTAATGATAAAGACAATGCCACCTGGTGGCAAAGCTGTGTATGGCAGCATAAAGATATTGCTGCCAAACAGACTTAACCAGTCATGATGTAAATTCAGCATAAAAATGCCCAAAAGACTAACAGTATTTCTGGCAGTGAAAGTATTTGCAATTAACAATACACCCACAAATCCCAGATAATGGAAAAGTTAAGTGTACACCACCTCATGGACAAAGTGTAAAACACCATTAGAACAAACCACTTAAGTGTCACACCAAAGTCAACAAAAGATCCCGATAACAGCATTTATTGTTTTTCCCTAATCAATTATAAATTCATTGGACAGGTACAGCCCTGCAAATCATTACAAGAATCTGGAACAAAATAACGTCAGCTACAAATTTGGTGTGCTGACAAAAAAAAAAGGAACCAAAAAAATGTATAATGCGAATCATATCAGGGGCCAGATTTTGATGTAGTGTTTTGTAAATTGTCTTGTAAACAATAGGCATACATTAAAACAATATAGGAAGTAACAAATGTTACCTTTGAGACAAGGAATTGAACTGTAGACTGCAACACCGGTTGGCATGATTAGGCATTTACAGAACCCTAAAGCAATAACATACCCTCCTTGACAGGTCCCATAAATGTCATTAACACAAGGTTTAAAAATAGCCACATACAACAGACAGCATCTCTGCTCCATACATCCAACCTTTTGTCCGTTGTCCCTGCTTGTGTGTTTACAGTGATAACGAGGTATATAAAAGGTCAATGTCTTTATTGTTCACCCCTCAGCCTCCTATCCAATAAAAACAGAGCATGGTTGTAGTGGTCAGTCACTGTTCCCTATGATATTGCAACATTGCAGTCATTCAGCCGTGTTTCATGATTCTTAAAGACAAAAAGGGGCATCAGGAAATAAAAGGATAAATAAAACAAAAAATATAATATTTAAAAAAAAAAGAGTGATAGCATTTCTAGCACAAAAGGCCAGTCGTGGCTATGGAAGAAAATGCAATTGTTTGATTTACAAAAAAAGTACATCCTAAATAAATTAAAGATAAATTGCAGGACTGCAAGAAATAACAATCAAACGATGCATTAGACACATGCACAGAGAAATTTATATTTCATTTAGACAATGTGTACGTCCACAATGGCACCCTATTCTTCTACGGGCCCTGGTCAAAAGTAGTGCACTTTATAGGGAGCCATTTGGGGACGCAAACAATTTCTTTGCAGACAACATTTTCCAGGACTAGGCACACCATTCCTCATAAAATACCGTTGTGGTACTGCCAGCACACCAGAAATGTCTAATGCTTTGGGTTTGTTATAGGTATATGGGTTCAATTTAAATCACATGATCACTTCCTTACATGGTTTCCAGGCTGTTTCAGTAACGGGAAGAAATATTCAGCCACTTTAATACACTTAACTTCAAATGTAAATAGTAAAGCAAAGATGCTAAACAGGGTGGAGAATTACTTAACACGTTTATTCCCAATTTAACTGTTAATACATCTCCTTAAAACAACCCCCCCTCCCTCCCTCCCCATGTCCTACACGTGATAACATCCAGGAGATAATGCTAATTTAAAAAACTCCCCAGGCCCAAACCACCCAATCCCCCATCCCCTCCCAAACGAGACCATGCCATCCAAACATAGGGCATCCCAACCAAAGCCCACCTTCCCCTTCCCACAACAACCCATTGCTCAAGATGCATTCAATCCCACCAACCCACATCTGCATACGGTAGTATCCCCAACCCAACCTGATCAACACAACACATCTCTTTAGAAAGCAAGTCAGTTTGTTTCAAATATCTTCCATGATCCTATGGGGTAGTTTAGTTTATTCAGTGAAATAAATGGCTCAAAGTGCTAATCGGATTCTTTTAAGGAAATAAAATAATTGAGGAGGAAGAAGAGGGGAGAAAGATGAGGAAGGCCATTCCACAGCTGTCCAACAGCAGCCTCTATTGGCCAAAGAATAGCATCACTATGTTCTCCTTAAACTAACAAGGAAAACGATTTACTCCCAAACCCACCCCCCCTCACACTTCCTCTACCTCACCTGGCAGTTCCCCAGAATGATTATAGCTGTTATTATACATGTATATATATTGTTATAAATATATATGGCCCTTATTGAAAGAAAACATGGGTTTCACATTGACAAGAAAGTACCATAATCTCTATATACCTAAGTGGAAAGTGTTCTCAGTGTAAGTGAGCTGGCAGCAGTCTCCCCATTATTTGTTGCACTCATTAACCAAGGTATAAAACACAAGAAATAACCACACAAAGCATCCTCTTTGTAGTTGCAAATTTACACCTCTAAAATGAGTGTTCATTGCACTACACAATTTCCTCCGTCTACACTTTTTCCTGAGTAATACTTTTATCCTTGTAACAGACAATATCATTATTAATTTTTTGCTATTTCAGTTCTGGGCTATTCCCTGCCGCCATCATTGTTATTCTCATTATTATGCTAGCTACAGTTGTAAGGTTGATTGCTAAAACCCTTAAACTCATGGGAGAAAAAAAACAAGTTCATTGCTACTCTGTGTTGTTTGCTTTAAAAAGGTACTTTTCATTCTAAGGATTAACGAGCAGACCAAAAATGACACCAAAAAAATGAAACGGACTAAATACATAGATATTTGCTTAAAAAATATATCTTAAAAAATTGCATTTGAATAGGCCTTGAAGACCAGTCCTGGGGAGAGGGGTGGGGCACATAAACATAGCGGCAGTGTAATAATAATAATTATTAAAAATTCACTTAATAAAAATAAGAATAAAATAGGAGCACTAAAAAAAACTGAGGACAAAACATGAACCTCCAACAGAATGCTGTCCCCTCCCAGGTCCTTATCTGTAGCTTTGGCTTGTTGGGGTTTTGGAACCTGTACTTACTGCCTCATTGACGTCGGCTAACAAACTAGTATACCCTGAGAATTCGGAGAGTGGCGTCCTTATCCTGTGGTCCACCTCCCCGCTAGAGTCAGTGCCGTACGACAGGGGGCCGCGGCCAGCCGACTTGAACTGGGATCCAAAGGCCTGGGCAAAGTTCTCGATCGTGTAGGAGCCCTTAGAGGGGTCCAGAGAAGTCAGGGCCTGCGAGTCCTTCTGGCTGCCCAGGTCAGACGGGCTGATCTGGTAGGAGGAGGGGGAAGAAGAGGAGTGTTGCTTCTCCATCTGGTCAGTGAGCTCCTGAGAAGGGGTAAGCTGCTGGTGGGTGGCAGGCTCCAGGCTGTTTAGGTGGAAGCCGTGCTGCGGAGAGGAGCCCGACAGCATTGCAAAGTGAGACTTTGGCACAGAGGAGGGCAGGGTGGGAGAGGCCACAGGCTGGCCAAAGCCACACTCTAGAGGGGACGTAGTGTACACGTGCTTATCTGAAAAAAGCGGGTTGCGTTGGTGGGTGCCAGTGAAGGGCCCTGTAGCTGGGGGCCCGGGGCCCAAGGGGAAGCCTGTGTTGTGGCTGGTGCGCTCCAGGGCCTGCAGCAGGAAGCGGGAGTACTCGTGCATGATGACTGTCTTGTCTCCAGACGGGCTGGGGGAGTCTGCATCGTGGCTCAGGTCAGAGCCGTCTGCTGAAACAGGGTGCAGCGCCACGTGCTGGTCACTGAGGTCAAAGTGCATGTCGTGGTGCGAGCCGTCTGGTTTCTGGGTGTAGTGGTCCAGCAGGCTCTGCAGCACCTCGTCAGGGATCCCTGACCTGTCCTGCTTGTCCACGCCCATGGGGGAGGAGTCTAGCAGACTGAGGGGCGTGTCGCTGTCCATCACGCCTGAGACCACCCCCTGTATAACCGACTGCTGGGATGACAGGTGACCAACGTTGACCTCATAATCGTTGGTGCTGCCCCCTGCCAGCCCGGCCCCTGATGCTGCACTGTTGGTCGTGTTCAGGTAGCGTCTCTTCTTGAGGAACTGCATGGCGTCGTCATAGTTGCTGCTGGTGGGGCCCGATTTGGCCCCAGAGCCCTGCATGAGGCCCATCCCGACCATCCCCACACCCCCACCCTGCTCCATAGGGCTCTGCTTGGCCTGCCCCAAGCCCTCCTGGTCCAGGGCCTTGCGGTTGGCCTTCTTGAAGGCCATCTTAGGGGCTCGGCCGTGATGCTCGTGGTGCATACTGGGCCCTGGCGGAGTGGACGAGGAGACTGTGTGATTCTCCACGCTGTAGTCATTGAGACTATAGCCTCCCGACGGCGCCCCGTGGATGTGTGCTCCGCTCAGCCCTCCTGCTGCCGCCGGCCCCGCCGCTTTCTTCCTCTTGCGCTCCCCTCCCTCACCAGAGTTTTTAGACTTGCCCCTCTTCCGGCCCGAGGCCCCAGCGTTTCCCTGAGTGATTCCGTAGCTGCCCTGCCCCATGTCCTCACAGCCCAGGTCCAACATCCCGGGCTCCAGACCCTTCTTTATGGCTTCTCCACAGGTTCGCTTGTGCTTGAGTAATCGGTCTGTCCTGGAAAAAAACTGCAGGGCAGGGAGACCACAAGTAGGGTACAGATTGTAAACCGCAGAATGGGATAGACATTTCATTCAAACTGCATTTAACACTAATAAATCCTGAGAAATAATAACTTGTCAGGTCATGCCTCATGCCATAATGGAAGTGGGCATATTAGGATTTACTTTATTGTCCCTGAGGGGAAATTTGTCTTGGCCATTCAAAAGTGCTGCTGCTTCCACATAGAATTTCAAAGGTTAAAAGCATACATACATCATAACCACCGTCCTCCCAACACACACACACACACACCATCATATTTCAGTAGGGTTTCCATGAGGAGGTCACTAACCTGTTGGCAGGTCTCACATCTATATGGCTTTTCTCCACTGTGGGTCCTCTTGTGTCTCTCCATGTGGTATTTCTGAATGAAGCGCATGTTACACTGGTCACAGCAAAAAGGCTTCTCTCCTGTCATGGGAAACATCACAGAAAATCTAAAGATTTGTCTCATTGTGTCATCCAACTATTGGTGCACAAAGGTCCTTGAATGTGTGTGTCGTTCACACGTCATTAGTGTGCTTGACGTGTGTGTGGGATGACACATTCCACTCACCGCTGTGGATCTTCTCGTGCCGCTGTAGTAGGTACTTCTGGATGAAACTCATGTTACACTGGCTGCACCTGAACGGCCTTTCACCTAAGGCAACACCACTTTAAGTTAAATCCTCTGCGTCTGCCTACTCCATTCAAAAGTAATACTGCACTGGTTTAATTTCAACGTTTCCTACAGTGACTTTGTGAAAAACTAGTTTTTCTAACGCACAAGATCTATTCCAAACATTTCTGGAGATCTTTTTGGTTTTATAATCTAGTGAGAAACTAACCGAGACCATACAGAATGCTAGAAATTAACAGACATTTTTATCAGTGGCCTAGGTACATGTGTGAAAAAGGACCTCCCATAACAAACATCTTGTCTGTCTATTCAATTCAACACAAATACTGCACTTCTTTCATTAGTGAAAGTGAAATTTTCCTCAAGAGATAAAAAAAAATACCAGATAAAAAATGAGCATAGTTGATCAGTCAGTAGGGGCCTGGGTACCTGTGTGGATGAGGACATGTCTGCGCAGGTGGTAGGAACTCCTGAAGGATGCGCTGCAGTGCTCACAGATGTGGAGCTTCCCGTTGGGCCACAGGCTGCCTCCATCTGCATCAAGCATTGATTGCTGTTGTACAAAAGGAGGAAGAGGGGGTCAATTCAACTACCAAATTCAATTTCACTCATTCATTTAATGCATGATCATTTCATTGAAGATATAAACTAAGTTCAGGAAAATAAATACTTAGATGTAATGGATGCTCAACTATGAAACTTTTACATTTTAGTCATTTAGCAGACGCTCTTATCCAGAGCGATTTACAGTTAGTGAGTGCATACATTTTTCATACAATTGATTCTAATGCAAATTTCAGTGATTTCATCTTATCTAAACCAAGATAACTTAGGATGCATATCAAACACATACAACTTGAATAGAAAGGACAGTTCACACACCTTAGGATCTCCACGTTTTCTCCTGGGCTTGCCCTCCTCACCATTTGACCTTCGACCTCTCCTTCCTGAGGACTCCTTTCCTAACCGACTCGGCAGCTGGGAGGATGACAAAAGGGAGGCGCAGAGCGAGAGAGGGAGGAGAGAAGACAGACAAATAAATGAGCACTTGCGAGAATGTGAAGAGCCTAGTTCAGTAACACACTCACAAAAACACAGACTCATGCAGCATCTAGTGAAAGCTCATTTGAGCCATTGCAGAGGGCTGCCTTGGTGAGGTGCCAGAAGGTAGAGTAATAAACCACATATTTATGGCTCCCTCTGTTCATCTCTCCTGACACAGTTAAGCTGTCATTCAAAAGGGAGAGCTGCTGTTCATTTAGGATGCATGCCAAATGGCCTATATAAAAGGGAATAGGGTGTCATTTGAGACACACTTAATATCCTATAGAAAAGGCCTACTGTTGATTAACTAGCGGCTGAAGTCTAAATACAGACTCATCAATCATCAGCATGTTGTTCACCCACTATGAAGAGCCATCTTCAAACAAAAGGGTCTGTGGTTTACGAAAGGGGAGGGGCACTGGGATTCATTGATTACCCCCCCCCCCCCCCCATTTCAATTATACTTTATTACTGGAGTCGGAAGCTTCCCAACACCATATGGATACTAAGAGCATGGCTTTGTCTGAAATGGCATCCTGTTTCCTATATCAACCAATTGTTGTATTAGATCAGGGGTGAGGCTAGCCAAAACAAGCCCCTGTCTCATTTCCTCAAACAAACGAGCGCAGGCCCAGTGGGCTCAAAATGGCTGCAAGCTCACATGCATGCCATTATCCTGACTGCACTCCAAATGAAACTACTCATAACTTTAGTAGGGAATCACCTTTTTGAGGGGAGAAAAATGTTTGTCTTCCATTCTCCTCAGTAATATGATCATAAATGTGTATGGATAATAACAAAAAAATCCTTACACAAAAGGTTTTTCTGACTACTGTAGTCTGCCGCCATACCTGCTGCTGATCATCTCAAAGTTAATGTAATGCATTCTCTAAGATGTCCTTGGATAAACTATTAAACCATATTTAGTGAGCAGGAAATTATGTCTAGCTTTTCAATGAGCATGCCAAGTGCTGCCTAGTAAACTCTGGAGCCTGGCTATTGTTAGGCAGAGAGAGAGCGTGTGTGTGTAGAAGACAATGTGTGAGTGCAAGCTCAAACAAGACGACTGTGTCCTTGCCAAGACGTTTCCATTCATACTGAGAGGGCCAATGACAATCATTTTGGGAGGGACATATTCTGCATCTGATGCCCTAGATTTAGGTCACCATTACTAAATCCTCCTTCTCTACACCCCCCCCATATCCATCAGTCTTTGGTGAGATTGGCTATTTTACAAGCCCGCACCCCAAAAGGCAGGTGGACATCTGATCAACCAAACCTCCGGAGAAACTTTTTTTATTATTAGACATTTCAATAGAGAAGATTTACCTTTGTTTACCCATGTTCCTCCTTGTAAATATAAATATCATTATTTTTTTACATAACAAGAGGGAGATTTGGTGTGGGTTAAGGCCAGGCACCATAGGCTGAAATGACATTTTTGCATTTACATTTAAGTAATTTAGCAGACGCTCTTATCCAGAGCGACTTAGTTAGTGAATAAAAAATGTTTATACTGGCCCCCCGTGGGAATCGAACCCACAACCCTGGCGTTGCAAACGCCATGCTCTATCAACTGAGCTACATCCCTGCCGGCCATTCCCTCACCTACCCTGGACGACGCTGGGCCAATTGTGCGCCGCCCATGAGTCTCCCGGTCGCGGCCGGCTGCGACAGCGCCTGGATTCGAACCAGGATCTATAGTGGCACAGTTAGCACTGCGATGCAGTGCCTTAGACCACTGCGCCACTCAGGAGAACATTTACCTATCCATTTTGAGATTTGCTGGTATTTTGGTCCATTAATATTAGTATTTCCCAGAAATCTACATAAAAATGTCAAGAACTAGATGAACATGTATATTTTCTTTAGTTTATCATACTAGTCATCAACATTTTCATTCATTTTAACCACTTTAAAATGCACATCAATCATTTCAAAGTTCACTACATTGAATTGCACAATTTAAAAGCCTATTTCATAGAGAATACTACAAACTGGACTATTTAGTAACTTACTTGAAGAGATGGTGATTGGGTCTAAATAGGCATTTGGTAGCCTAATTTCACTGTACTTGTCTAACTACCATTCACCGAAAGTCAGACTCTTCCCACTAGCCAACACATTTTCCTCAGCTTCAGAAGCATCTGCCTTCACCAAATTCTGTATGGTTATGCTTAGAAACATTCGCCAGACTTTCCCAGAGGAAATTGTTGACATCTTGTCTATTTTTTCTTCTAGGTAAGATCTAGTTTGGAAAAATGTGCCAAAAATACTTTTTACATATATCTATTTCTTTAGTATTTTACAGATAGAAAAATGAAAAAAAGTATTTACCCACAATCTGCTCTTGACAAGTCCGGTCCTGGAGTGTCTTAAAATGAAACCAAAATATTTAGGCTGACTTCATCCAGTGTCCAGATAAATGGATTTGCGTGATATGCAATCATGTGCATATTTAATTATCTATTGCCCAATTTTCATATTTGAATTAAATGTCTGAAAATGTGTAATACAAAAAAGTCATTTGTGTCTACATTCAACTGGTAAAAGTTGATTGTATTACAATTATGATTTTTTTAAAATCCCTATTAGGGTGTGGTGCCTGGCCTTAAATTCTCTGGTGTGAAGAACAACATAACGGTCTGGTTTCCCGGACACAGATTAAGCTTAGTCTTGGACTGAAAAGCTCTTCCAATGGAGAATGCTTTTTAGTCCACGACTAGGCTTAATGTGTGTATGGGAAACAATCCCTATAAGTATCAATGTATCAGAAGGCCTTACGTTGCCTAGGCTAAGGTCATGCACCAGCAGGTTCTGGTGGTTGCCCATGGACACCTCCAGGTGCTCTGTGCTCTTCCCCGGGCCTCCAGGGTACAGCGGCAGACGGTAGTCATGTTCTGTCATCTTCTCCTGCTTGATGTCCATGGCATGAACGTAGTCCCCCACCCCTCCATACCCCCCCAGGCCGCCCACCCCAGGCATGCTGCAGTCTGGAGAGTCCCGCTCCTTCTTCAGGATCATCTCGTGGGGGCCTGGCAGGTCCTGCATAACGGACTGGGCGGCCAGCCGGGTGAAGCTGGTCACAGGGGGCAGGTGACTGAACATGATCATGCCAGGGGAGAAGTTGGAGTCCATGCTCCCATTGGAGCGCAGGAAGTCATTACCTAGTTTGTCTTGAATGATGCTCATGATGAACTTGGTGGTGGTGGGCGGGTTCAACTACAGGGAGCCAACCGGAACCATCCTGGGAAAGAAAGAGCAGGAGCTGAAGTACAATGCAATACAACGTTATTGTCCATATGTTACAGCGAACGGAAATGTGTCTTTTGCTCTTTTATTTAACTAGGCAAGTCAGTTAAGAACAAGTTCTTATTTACAATGACGCTGGGCCAATTGTGCGCCGCCCTATGGGACTCCCAATCGATACAGCCTGGAATCGAACCAGGGTCTGTAGTGACACCTCTAGCACTGAGATGCAGTGCCTTAGACCGCTGCACCACTCGGGAGCAAATGTGTTTATCTTCCCAGATAGCATACATCGCATAGACACAGTTGAGAGGAGCACAGGGTGAAGCCGCAACGCAGCTTGCCTGGATGAGTGGGAAGGAAACATTAACATCTGTGTGGCCTTTCCATCAGTGATCTACGATGGTTTGTTTTTGTTTACATGTGCTGCTGACACCAATTAACATTAAATAAATTCTGTCCAGACAGACAGTGCCTGGAAGAGCGGCATTGTTACGATGGGCCGTCCCTGAGGAATCAGTCGCATGCCCTCTGATCTCCCCATGAAGTGCTTAGCCGGATTAATAATGAGGGTTTGTGGGTCAACAACACAGCTACGGTCCGGAGTCTGACTTGTGTGAATTATGGCATCCTAAAATCAACAGGGTGATGTAGAAGGCTACTTTTAGAAAGTCTTCAGTCAACCTCAGATGCAGCTAAATTAACCTGGGCAAAATGTATAGCCTATAATATGTTAAACCCTGACATCCTACGAGGAGAGAGCGGAATGAACCTGAAGCTGCGTGTTAATCTGTCATCCTATTTGAGGACTAGGCTAATCAACTAAAAAAAAGGCGAGAGCCCAGTTAGGTTCTACAGGTAGTGGGAAGGTCAATTTCAGCATTTTATTCTGTGACTATGGGTCATCATCATCATAGGACACCCATTGAACAAGGGCTAACGTTAAACAAAGATAAGAGACCGAGTAGCCTGTACTAGCCACTGAAATACTCTACCAAGAAGCAAAATGATACCATGGGTATAATGCAAAACGTTGGCTCTGTAATATACTTCAAAATTAACACTTTTCTAAGCTAGCTAGCTACCATCATACCATGAAATTTGAGATGACTGAGGTTAGTCATGTCTCGGCTGCTGTGCTACTTTATAATGCCACGAGGAATAACAGAGGATTCCAAAATGCAAAATGGAGTTTTTGGAATGAGAGGAACAACAGCATCCAAAAACCAGTGCATCACACCTTGAGGAAAACATCAGAGGCACTGATGTAGCCTAACTCGGGTGAAATAGCTATAAATAAATATTTCATAATTGTAACATTGTCCAGACTACCATTACCTAGCCAATTTCTTTTATTCAGTTGAATGGCTTTTCAATAGTGTGTTTTCATTCACAAAACACCGTTAATTTGAATAGCTTCACATTTATCACAAATAACTTAATCGTGTCTCTGAACTTCATTGTCTCCACCAGCATTGCTAGCTAGCATGTTACCTATGCATCCATTGCATTGGATGCAACTTGCTAGCATGCTGATATCAAATAAAGCTAACAGCTAGCTAACAGATGCAGAGGGAACATACTATAGCATAATGGTACGTATTGTAAGCAAGCGTTAGTTGAAAGTTAAAATGTCTTCAGTGTTCAAAACTAATGAAATGCGCGACAAATCGGTTCCCAGCGCTAAGCTGTGATTTATTCATCGAGTGTCACTCACTGGGGCTAGAAAGACCGCTATCTAGCTAACTACTGCTAACGTCTGGCTAGCCACCAAGCAATTAGCCATTTGGCTAACCAGCCTGCCAGGCCCTTTGTGATGCAGGATCATGCAATTATTAGCTAATATGGCCATCAGCATAACAGTAATACTCGGTAAAATAAATTAGACCATACACTGAATTTAACATTACACCAAACATGTGAGGATCTGACGTTCTCGCCTGACGTAATGCTACATCGATTCCAAGTTATGGAATTAATTCTAAAATAATTTTGATTGACAAATATGCGAGTCGGCCTTTGCACGCGCAAGCGATTTCAGACAACACCGTGTGTCGTCATTCGTCAACATATTTCGAGCACTTCATTTTAATTTTTCGGTTATGAAATACATAATACCTGGCTAACTAATTAAAACAGTTGATGAGGTTAATATATACTACTTGAACCTCTAACATACATTGGGTGAGGACTGAACGAAAACATAACTGAGCATAATGTGCGACGTACCCATAACAAATGGCCCATGTAACTCAAGCGAACAATTGATGCTCGGCTCCAACAACGGTATGCTAGCTAGCGTTGCGCTTTGTTGTCTGTTCCACACTCTTGCCGGAGTTTCACATATTTAAACTCTCCCAAAATGTATATTTCCTTTTATCTTACCAGTGCATGACCACCAATAGCTCTTTCGGCTGGTTTATTTCACGTTTGGTCGTCCGTTTCAATCTTTAGAGCCCAAATATTGTTCTCCCACAGCGGCTGTATTCCTTCATTTTGTCTCAGCGCGGGGAATTATGGGTATAGCGGACGGGTCCTGCGAAGAGTCACAGACGGACGCTTTGATCTGCAGGCAGGAGAGCACTGGGCCGGAATAAACACGCAGTGCGGGGACATATGCTTTATCATTTTGAACAACAATGTTGCCTACGTACACCAAATTCAACAGAAATATAAGTGTAATTTGGATAACTGAAGGAGCTGTGCCATTTCATTCATTTTATGTGTGTTAGCATAACTGATAGCCCTAATGTCTTTTAACTACCTAAACCAGATGAAAAATCAGATTAAAATTATTATTTAAAAAAATGAATTTTATGAAAACGCTGTCATCAGTTTATAAAAGGGTTTGTGATTGGTTGTAGTTGCCTATGTGGAAATCAAATATGCAAGAACCATAAATAATAATGTGCAATGTTCCAGGGTACCCATTGATTGTTGAAGAACCAACATCTAAGGTCGCATTACTCCATTCGTTATTTAGCCTATGTTCTACCTAACAAAATGGTAGGGTCAGGCTATTGAAATTACAGATTGGGTATTTAACATTTAGGGTAGACTATGCATCCACAATATCTAATTAGTTATTTACTGAAACCTAGGTAAAAATAATAATAAACTATTGACAGTGTGAATAATGGTTTCTTAAAACTATGTTCCAGCCTTGAGGATATTTCGCCTTCCTCATTGTGTACATGTTTCAAAACGGTGACTGTCCCCCTGGGTCCCAATTCCTGAAAAAAATAGGACACCTCACCATTTCTCAAAAGTGTACATTGATAGAGCTCTGCTATTCAATGCTACTGTGCTGCATGGATATTGTGGCATATTTAGCACAAAATAAATCAATTCCTGAAATAGCTTCAGACTAATTAGTCACAGTGGTCTGGTCTCCTGTGAACAGAGCGACCCTTAAAAACAAGTAGTGGTCCTGAAAATATGAAAAGAGAATGAAAGAGAGAGGGAACAAGAATAGCCTACTAACAACAAACATCAAACTAGCTAAGGGAGGAACAATCATTAGAGACGTTCTCTGAAGTGATGCAGCATCTCTGAATTGGATATGAATAAGTGCCCCATAGATTTACATTTAAGTCATTTAGCAGACGCTCTTATCCAGAGCAACTTACAAATTGGTGCATTCAACTTAGGTTAGCCAGTGGGACAACCACCTTTTTTTCTTCTTTTATGGTGGGGTAGAAGGATTACTGTTATACTATTCCAGGTATTCCTTAATGAGGTAGGGTTTCAAGTGTCTCCGGAAGGTGGTCAGTGACTCCGCTGTCCTGGCGTCGTGGGGGAGCTTGTTCCACCATTGGGGTGCCAGAGCAGCGAATAGCTTTGACTGGGCTGAGCGGGAACTGTGCTTCCGTAGAGGTAGGGGAGCTAGCAGGCCAGAGGTGGATGAACGTAGTGCTCTCGTTTGGGTGTAGGGTCTGATCAGAGCCTGAAGGTAAGGAGGTGCAGTTCCCCTCACAGCTCCGTAGGCAAGCACCATGGTTTTGTAGTAGATGCGAGCTTCAACTGGAAGCCAGTAGATCTACTGGCTGTGTGAATTAATGTGTATATATCTAACCACCACTCATCAGACTCTATCCCCCTTTTCCTCTGGCCTCAGCCTGACTCCTAATTGCCTGTGTTAACAACCCAATTAATTCAGAGGAGAGCATAATTGAAATGGAGACGGTATGAGTTAATGCAGAGGGTCAGTGGGTTGCCTTTTGATGTGTGCCCCACTGCCCCCTCCCCGTCTTCTTAAAATATTCCTGATAACAACCCATATTGCTGACAGCAGCTGTATATTTGAATTCACTTCTCATCTCAAAGTGTTTAAATATGCATTAGGACTTCTCTAATCATCAAATTCAGCAATGTGACACAATGCTAGGCTGGGGTGCATATGGCTGTTGTGCAGAGATCTATGGGATGATCAGAGATTAGATGGTGACAATGTAAAGTTATGGTCATACATTAAACATTCCCCTCCATTAAACAGAAAGTTCATCAGGGCCACTGCTTGAAGATATACAGGAGACTAAGGTGATCAATGTGGACGTTTGGTTGATTTTTATCATCAGTATGCATAGCAAGACACCTCTTTAACAGTACTACCATACTACCATACTACCACATACTGTGAAACACACTCTGGGACCAACACCCTCTGGTCCTTCAGCTTTTTGGCTCCAAGTTGAACCCTCTGTGGAAAGGGTTATGGAACCCAAAAGGGTTATCAATGGTGTAAAGCATTTAAGTAAAAATACTTTAAAGTACTACTTAAGTAGTTTTTTTGGGTATCTGTACTTTTCTATTTATATTTTTGACTACTTTTACGTTTACTTCACTACATTCCTTAAGAAAATTACTCCATACATTTTCGTTGACACCCAAAAGTACTCGTTACATTTTGAATGCTTAGCAGGACAGGAATATTATCAAATTCACGCACTTATCAACAGAACATCCCTGGTCATCCCTACTGCCTCTGATCTGGCGGCACACATGCTTCGCTTGTAAATGATGTCTGAATGTTGGAGTGTGCCTCTGGCTATCCGTAAATTAAGATGTTGCCGTCTGGTTTGCCTAATATTGTCACGACTCCCTCCGAAGCTGCCACCTCTCCTTGTTCGGGCAGGCTTCGGCGTTCGTCGTCACTGGCCTTCTAGCCACTGCCGTTCCTCATTTCATCATTCCATTGGTTTTGTCTTGTTCATTACACACACCTGGCTCATATCCCCTCATCAGTACCTGTATAAGTGTTCCCTCTGCCCCCTTGTCTTTGTGTGTGATTGTTTATTGTGAGGATAGTGAAGTTGAGCTCCTTGTATTTTGTATTGCCGGGTTATTTTCCCTGTGTGCCTTGTTGGTTCCAGTGCGCCTGTTTTGCGCACTGGACTGTTTTGACGCATTACTGCATAACTCTGTATTCTGGAATAAATCCTGTGATTTACCCTCCTGCGCCTGACTCCTTCAAATCACCCATCACAGAATCACACACCCGCCATGGAGTCAGCAGGAGAGGAGCACATGCCTGGAGTCGTGGCACGGGTCCGGGAGCATTCGACGATGCTAGCCAGCTTGGGAGAAGCGATGGATCGGGTTCTTCAGGTCGTCCAACGCCTGGAGAGGAGAGGACCCGATCTGTCGGGACCAGCTGGGCGACCGGATCCAGCCACCCACACCCCAGCACCCAGAGGGATCCATATATCCCGACCACGGGATTTAGACGGGACAGCTGCTCTCTGCCAGGGATTCCTCCTACAACTGGAGTTATATTATTCGAACATCAGCCCGGCTCCATCGGAGCGGGAGAAGGTGTCTGCCCTCGTCTCCTGCCTCTTGGGGAAAGCCCTGGAGTGGGCCAACGCGGTCTGGAGTGAAGGAGGAGCCGCGTTGGACAACTACAGGGAGTTCGTTCGCCTCTTTTGGGCCGTCTTCGATCACCCGCCTGAAGAGGCGGACGAGTGGCTGGTCCACCTGAGGCAGGGGATGACTACCGCGCAGGACTTTGCGCTGGAGTTTCTGACTTCGTCCTGGAGTTTCGGACTCTAGCGGCTGGGTCCGGGTGGAATGAGCGGGCCCTCATCGACCACTTCCGGTGCAATCTACGAGAGGACGTCCAAAGGGAGCTAACCTGCCGGGACACCATATTGTCCTTTAATCAACTGGTGGAAATGGCCATCCGGTTAGACAACCTACTGGCTGCTAGAGGACGTCCTGGAAGTGGCCTGCCCGTTCCACCTCCCCCCAACCCGGATCACGAGCTGATGGAGCTGGGTGGTGCGGCAATCCGAGAGAGCGGAGGACGACAGCGCCAGTGTCACTCTAGTGGCACGAGAGGACATTCTCCTGGACGCTGTCGTCAGCATTCTTTTGGGTCTGGAGGCGGCAGGCAGGGCACTCTCACGTCACCCCAGGTATTGAAAACCCACACTCGTTCAGAGCCCTCTGCTGCGCACTGTACCCTACCCACTTTCCTGATTACACAGTAGTTCCCCAGTGTAAGGTGCTAGTCGATTCAGGCGCAGCTGGGAACTTTATGGACAGGTCATTTGCACATAGTATAGGCATTACATTGATTCCCCTATCCATTCCACTCCCCATCAGAGAACTTGACAGTCGACCGCTAGGGTCCGGGTTTGTTAGGGAAGTTACAGCACAAGTCAATATGGTTACACACAAGACTCATAGAGAGCAAGTCACCTTTTTTATTATTAAGTCTCCTGATTTCCCTGTTGTGTTAGGTCTTCCCTGGTTAGCACTACACAACTCCACCTTTTCATGGCCGCAGAGGGTTCTCACGGGATTGTCGCGAGAGTGTCAGGATAAGTGTCTAGGTGTTTCTGTTGGTGCAACCACGGTGGAAAGTCCAGACACTACCTCCACCGTGCGCATTCCCCCGAATACCTTGATTTGGCGCATGCGTTTACCAAAACGCAGGCGACCAAATTACCACCTCATCGGGCGGGGGATTGCACAATAAACCTCCGGGTAGACGCTGTGCCTCCCAGGAGTCATGTATATCCCCTGTCGCAGGCTGAAACGTAGGCGATGGAGACATACGTCTCTGAGTCCCTGCGTCAGGGGTTCATACGTCTCTCCACTTCGCCCGCCTCCTCAAGTTTCTTTTTTGTGAAGAAGAAAGACTGAGGTCTGCACCCTTGCATTGATTACCAAGCACTGAACAAGGGAACAATACGTTATAGTTATCCTCTACCCCTCATTCCATCTGTGATCGAGTCAATGCTTGGGGCGCGCTTCTTCACAAAATGTGATCTCCAGAGTGCGTACAACCTAGTGCGTGTCCGAGAGGGGGACGAGTGGAAGACAGCATTCAGCACAACCACGGGGCATTATGAATACCTGGTGATGCCGTACGTTTGATGAATGCTCCATCAGTCTTCCAGTTCTTTGGGAACAAGGTGTTTTGGGACATGCTTGGTCGCTGTGTAGTGGTCTACATCGATTAAATTCTGGTGTATTCCGCTACACGCGTCGAGCATGTGTCCCTGGTTCGCAAAGTGCAGGCCCGACTGTTGGAACATGACCTTTATGCCAAGGCAGAAAAGTGTCTGTTTTTCCAACAGTCCGTCTCCTTCCTCGGATACCGCATTACCACCTCAGGTGTGGAGATGGAGGGAGATCGCATTTCAGCTGTGCGTAATTGGCCGACTCCAACCACGGTTAAGGAGGTGCAGTGCTTTATTGGCTTTGCCAACTACTATCGGAGGTTTATCCGGGGCTTTGGCAAAGTCGCAGCTACAATCACATCTCTGTTGAAGGGTGGGCCGTCCCGGCTCTGCTGGTCTGCTGAGGCTGACAGGGCCCTCAGTAACCTGAGGGTTCTGTTCACCTCAGCCCCGGTACTGGCCCATCCCGATCCATCACTACCGTTCGTAGTGTAAGTGGATGCATCCGAGGTAGGGATAGGTGCTTTCCTATCTTAACGCTCGGGTACACCACCCAAGCTCCGCCCCTGTGCCTTATTCTCCAAGAAGCTCAGCCCGGCGGAGCAGAACTACGACGTTGGTGATCGGGAGCTGTTGGCTGTTGTCCGAGCCCTGACCGTGTGGAGGCACTGGCTCGAGGGGGAGAAACACCCTTTCCTCGTCTGGACGGACCACCGTAACCTAGAGTACATCCGGGCAGCGAGGAGGCTGAAACCTCGCCAGGCCAGGTGCGCCCTATTCTTCACCCGGTTTGATTTGACTCTATCATACATCCCAGGTACGAAGAACGGGAAGGCAGACACACTGTCAT